CAGTCTTACTGTGCAGGAAAATGTAAGTTTTGAACTGCATAAAATCAGATTTTTTTGAAAAAACTTGGAGTTTTATTTACCAACAGTCACGGTGAGAACTACTTGTATTTGTCTCTCAAGTCTGTTTCATTAAACTACTGAAACTTTTGAATAAACTTTCAGCAGCTGCTTTACAATCATTTTTTGTTGTTAGTCATATTCTGCCATCACCCTAAAAGACTACTCATTTTCTGTGAATAAGTATCTCTGCAAAATATCTCACTTCTTCTTTTATGTTATACCTATATCTAGTCTACTTTTGCAGTTTAAGAAATTCCAAATTTTCGAAGGACTTTTTACTGATAGAGCACTACATTTCTTCTCATTTCTTATGTCACTTTAAACTCGTCGCAAAAATTTATTTTCAGTACGTTTAACCAACCAGATAACCTTATTTTAACGACAATTTCTGTGAGTCACTGTAATTAATCGTGCTCATGGCATATAAAATTAATAAGCACATAAGTGCAACTACAGATTTGTATACTTATTATGTTTCAAATTCTCAACAGTCTATATGCTGTAAACCATGATTTTGAAAAAACTACTTATATATTTTTTAACACTAATAAAATAAAGCTAGAAACAATAAGATACTAGCAAACATTGTTTAGTAAGTAAATAAAACAGATAGTCAAATTTGTGCCACAAAAAAAAAATAGAGAAACTGCTTTAAACAGACGGTTTTCAAATACTACTTCAGCTTTTATTTTGTAGTGTACCCTAAACTAATCAACCTTATTTATATAAATAATACTAGATAATACGCAGTGAAGAACAGTTGGTTTTTAGCATTGACATTTTTGTGTAAACGTACCAACATTAACAAAAAGCAACGTTTCTACAGCACTCGCTTAAAGCAAAATATTTCTGCTTTATTAAGCACTTACTGTTTTTTTAATTCAATAACAGGAGAATTGCAATTACTTTTAGTCATTCTTTACAAAATTTTTCAGTCCAGATAATTTTACATCTTACTGTCGCTTTTTTTCTATATAATGTTCATTTCTAAAATAAATAAAAAAAAATAAATTTCAAATCGCTTTTTTTTTTGCAATAAATAAGCATCAAAAAAAGTTAAAAATTATAGTGCACATTTTGAACCTTAGAAGCTGCATTCTCTTCCTTGTCGCAGTTGTCTCCTTTAGTCTTCTTTTGATAGCTGTCATCACCTTTATTTTTGAAATCAGCTTCTAAATTTGAGCCGCAGCTTTTATTTACATGTAACAATAAAGAGAGAATATAATTTTTGTTTTTTGTAGTTTGACAGATAAACCTGGGGCAGAAGGAGTGGCGTATGATTGCTCGCGAAACTGCGCACCAGACGCTTCTTCGATGAATTCAGCTTGAAGTCGACATGCAAACTGATAATCATCTTCCTCTTGAGCAGTTTTTTTCGTTGCATCTGTAATTAAGCGTTTCTGTAAAATTAAAATTATCGCTTATAAAATTATATATCTGTATAGTTTTAGCGTGCTTAAGGTGCGTGCGAAAGTTTAAAAAGAGGTAATTTCTTAGACTTAATATTTCATATTAGTCAATTTAAAAATTTTGTACAAAATCTGTAAACTGATAATTTTCTAAACTGGTTTTTAGCACTTCTCAGCTGCTCAAAACCTTTCGCAAGTCTTCTTTTACCTCTCCTGAGTTGTCTCGAGTACAGGCAGATTAAAGTTGTTGCTTTGCCAATTTGCTTTCAAAAATACTTTTAACATATTTTTTCTAAAACTTTCGGAGTAGAATGCACACTTTAGTTTATATTCTTACTGTATTCAGCATCACTGGAAGATGGCAAAGTGGATCGCATCGCGGCATGCTGATTATCCTCAAAAATATTTTCCGGTAGAGTTATAAAGAGTTGAAAACCGAAGATAGCGAAACAAAACTATGAACTTCTTATTAATCAATTATACTAGCTAAAAAATTAATTTTATTAATTGAAAATAAAATGCTGACAGCCGCAGAGAAGTATTCAGCTTTTTAAAAAAACTTTTTGGTTTTTTTAACATAAAACTATAGAATAAAATGAGTCACTTTTTTAAATAAAATAAAAAGTTTTATATCAATAAGAAGTTTCATTTGTTACAATTTCAATACATTAAACATTTGTGTGAGAACAGCACAATTAGCAATCTATTAATTTCATAGAAGTGTCAACTGTACATGATCACCAATACTCACCAAAGAATCGGTGTCAGCTCTTTGTTGTTTGAGGTACTCAACAATTTTAGACTCTCCGGCTCTCATTGCGAGCTGTAGTGGCGTTTCCTGCAGCATCATAAAGTGTTATTCCGTAAAAATACATGAGAATTTGTATTACTATTAGTACATCGATCAGTGGGGTAAAAGCACAAAGCGAGATGTTGCATCTTTTCTGGTTCTTTCAAAAAAAAAAAAATGAACGAAGTGGTGACAAAGAAGAGAAAAGAAACTATAGAAAAAATAACAATTCTAAAAGCTAGACAGTTTTATTTCCATAAAATCATGCTTTAAAGAAGTTTCACTGTTGTCCTTGAAATTTTCTACTTTTCTGCTTTTAGTTAAAATTCAAAATGGTATGTCAAGAATTACAGCTACCTGTGCCAATCACTGAGCGTTTTTTTTTTTCAAAGTACAAAAAAAAAAGCTGCAACTTTCAATGGCTTTACGAATTGGAAAAAAATTTAACGCTGTTAAACAAAAAAATACTTTTCAAAGAACTATTTTGAGGAGAAAAGAGTAGTGTAAAACTCGACGCTTAAAAAAGTAATAGAAAAACAAATTTTTTATAAAATTTTCGCAATGATTTGTAAAAAACAGAGATAAGCAGTACTACACTAAATTTTTTGAGCAATTATTGGATATAATGTCGTATCAAACGCTGTTCAAATACTATTACTGATGCATAAAAAAAATTTCTACGTGTTTTTATTTCTTTCTTTTCCTGATCTTTTTTCTTTCTTCATTCTTAATTTCAGACCGCGCCACCAAGCAATTTAAGTTTCTTGGCTTTATTAACTTTTGAAGTGTAATTTCAAACTTTTACAGTTTAGGACAGAAGTTCCAAAATTTATTCGGGTATGACACTACACTACGCTTTTTCGAAACTTTTCTCCTTCTTTTATCTTTTCTAAAACTTTGTTAAACAACTTGTCTTCAGTGTGCTTTAAAATAACTGTTTAGTGTAGTGTTGTAACGTTTCTTTTCTTTAGAACTGCGACAGTTTTCTACTGAAGACGGATAACTATTTAACAAATAAAATTTTGCGAAAAAACAACATAATAGTTTACAATTGCGCAAAGACGAATATGTGAAAGAGAAGGGAAACTTGCTGTAAAAAAAATTAAAATAGCAGATCTTTTGAAATTTCACGTTTTTCTGCGTTCCAATTAGAATTTTGCTTTTTCATTTTCTCTTATCAGAAAAATATTTAGCCTTCTATATTTCAGTTTATCTTCAGAATAAAAAAATACACAGTTTTTTTCTAAAGAAAAGATATAGTGAGTAGTTCTCAATAAAAAGAAAGTTTCTGCTTTTTTTCATTCAAAAGACACCTATAAACTGAAAAAAATTTTGGAGGTTTATCAAAGTGAAATAAGTTTTCTCTAAACTGTAGAAAAAACCACGGACAAGCAGGAAAATTTATTGCGCTGTCAGATGTGTAAAAAATTGTTTTTTTTTTAATATATAAAAACGTGATAAAGCTCAGTGTAAAATATAGAAGTTTTGTAATTAAAATGAGTTTTTTTTTTCAAATTTTGATTGGTACAGAGTCGTTATTCGCACATGTTATATTTTTTCTCCTGAAGATAAGGAATTGATTAGTTACAAAAAATTTTACTTGCAACACTTTTTTAAATAAGTTAATATAAAGAGCAGTGCAGCGATGGTTTTTCTTATTTTTTAATAATTTGAACCGATAGACAGTTATCATTTATTCTTCAGTGCGTTTGAATATGATTAACTCATTAATTATGTATACACTTGTCTATTTGTTTACTTATTTTTTGGTTTACTAGATCATATATTTAATTGATCATTTGTTTTACGTATACATTAATTCATTAATTTACAAATATACAAAGTAAAAAGAAGACGGCAGTTAAAAAAAAAAGATTTAATCAAAGTTTTTGAACAAACGTTACGTGAAACTTGTTTTTTGCATCAATATCAGCGTTCATTTCAACTAAATATTTAACGATATTAGTGTACCCTTTCGAAGAGGCAATGTGTAGAGGAGTTTCCTGAAGTGAACAAAAGCACTCTAACACACAAAAACATAGAAGTAGAAAAGTTAGGAAGTTAAAGCAGAAAAAAAATGTAAGAAATGAAGAAAAAAATCAAAAAACACTAACTTACGGAAATCTAGTGCTCTTTACTGGTTTTTAATGCCACATAACTTTTTGCAAAAAATCTGATAATTTAATCTATTCTATGATAAACACTTGTAAAGCGTCTGTAAGCGCTCTCTTTAATAAAAACGAGGTACATGCTATTTTTATCAGCAAATTTTACGCTCATAATTGTAAAAAAAAATTAAATTAAGGTTCTTGACTTTACTACCAACCTTGGCTAACTTTTTACGCATATTTCTAGATGATATTTTTATGTATATAAAAAGTTCTGCAAGCACTTCCAGCCTGGTCTGACTAATCCAAAGTGAACTATCATTTGAAGCAAAAAACCTTTGTCTTCAGCATTCTTTTAAATTTCTTGAAGTTCAAGAAATCTCTGCTTTAGAAAGTGCAATAAAGTTTTTCACTGCAATTCTTTTGACCAAACTCACCCCCTTAATATCTTTTGCGTTGACGGCGGCTCTCTTCGCTACTAAAAACCTAACCAAGTCGAAGTTGCCTCGAAGACAAGCACAGTGTAAGGAAGTTTGCTGTAAATAAACCAAAAAATTCTTCTAAGCGTTAGAAACATTTGATCTTTGTTACATATTTTGTATCTTTTTTCATCTTCTTTAATTCTTCTTGCAGAAAAAAATTTTTTTTTAAAGGCTGATATAAACCAATCTTCAACTGCGTTTAAAGTAAGGTTAGTTCTTTTTCTCAACGTAATAACACAGTAATCAAAAACTTTTATACCCTTTATTGAAAAAATTAAATTTAGTTTTGATAGCACTGTAAAAACAGTGCTTTTTTTTCCCAACTTTTTTCTTCGCTCCCAAATTGCAAGCTGAGAAACTACAAGCGCTGAAGCAATTTTGATGATTTTCTTTTTCCATTTTGAAGCAACGCATATGATTTACTCAAAACTCACAACAAAATTTTTAAACAATATGAGAATTTTTAAATCGGTAGAATACACCGAATACGGAAAACGCTCGTCAAAGTGGATTCTGCATAAGTGTAAGTCGAATGTTTGAAGGATGTCAGATGTAATCAGAAAATCATCGTGAAAACGTTTTCAGTGGAAGAAAAGTGGTTGCTTCAATATGTACAGGAAAATTTCTTGCCAGAATTCAAGTCTGAAACTTACTGCTAAATTTCGTCCCTAATCTGTTTTAAAGTTTTTCTAAAAACTTAGCCGCTTTTTCTGAAAAAATAATTTCTGAGTAAATGTGCACCTTCATTTCTTCATACACAGTCTAGTAAAACTGTTTTTGACAAAACAAAAAAAAAAGTCAATGTTTTCTATTTAAATACATTAACGATGCATGCATGACCTGCACTTATGGTTTTCAAATAGTTTTGTTTTTCTATTTCGTTATTTGCGTACTTTATTTTGTGCGAATTCAATCTTAACAGCACTGCTGGTCAAAGTAAAACAAGAAATCTTGATGCATTATACGTTTATTTGTAACAGTTGTGATTATTTACGAAACTTTACCATTTTTTTGTTTATTTCGTCTCGTCTAGCACCACCTAGAATCAAACGTCTTGCCACACCAGTATGCCCGTTTAAAGCAGCAATGTGTAGTGGGGTATTCTAAAGTTACACTGTAATTGCAGAGAAATTCAGAAATACAGAATTTGCAGATCACTTTAATTTACGCTTATTTAGCCTAAACAGAAAAGTAATATTTAACCCGATTTGTAAAGTCTGAGCAGCTGTCACCATTCCAGTGAAACGGTAGTCAAAGAATTAAAGTAGCCAAAGAATCATAAACATTTTCTCATTTTTCCAGTGTTTTCGTCAGTGTAAACTCATATATCATTCAAGAAGTCAAACATCTTTCAAACTTCATCTAATTAACCGTTGTTTACTTTTACTTATTTATCAAAACTTACAGATAATAGTTGATTAATAAAAAAAGATGCAATTGATTAAGTTAAATCAGGAAAAAATTAGTGTTTTATAGAACTTTTCTGTCTAAAACGTCGTAAATCTAAACACACGTGTAAGAAGCTAGCAAATTTTTAGGATTTTTAGAAAAAGAATGTCAAAGCTTTCTAGTAAAAGAAACGTATTTGATTATTTATCCCTAGTTTCTATATAATTTAGAATTATAAGTGTTAAACAAGTCTTAGGTTCTCTTGAAGCAACAAACAAAAGCTGTTTGAGTTTTAAAAACCAGAAGTAAGCTATAAAACATTAATTTAGCTTATTCTGTGTAATTCTATCCTGACGAGATTTTATATTTTAATTTTGTAAACTTGGTAAAAAGATTTTTTAATGCATCATTATAAGACAAAAGTTGATAAGTTACTTTTTGGTAACACTACAATATATTAAAGTAGCTAAGACTCTTAGTACCTCGTCTATGTCCTTCGAATTGGCATCAGCTCCGGCATCTAGTAAACACCTGACTACATCGACACACCCAAAAGAAGATGCGATCCATAATGGCGTTCGCTAAAAGGTAAAATTGAGTTGCGTTACAGAAAAGAACAAATTTATTTTTATTTCATTCGCTTCTACATCTAGTGGATAAAGCTGTACGTGCAATCTTCTACGTCTTGCAGGTTTTAAAAACGTGGAGCTGAAATTTCTCTTTTTTTTATGTAAATAATTTTTTCTTTATAAAATTGCTTTATATATTTTTTGACAGTACTTAATTACCTAGTAGACAAAATCTTCTTGTTGCTGTTCTCAGTACTCAACTCATTTTATACAGTGTGGCGCACAAGTTACATACGTTTAGTCGATAAACTGTGCAAGTTAGAAACTGTACAAACTGTATAGAAATGTTCAAAATTAAATGATACTCAAAGAAAAGATGATTGATGAAAAAACCGTAAAACTGAAGCTATGATCCTAAAATTTCTATCAAAATTCTTGTTTACGTTTGGTAAAAATTTCTCGCTTTTCCTTCTCTTTAATCAAATAAAAAAATCATGAAGAATATGAATGTACACCGTACTGCAACTTTTATCTTTTTGGTAACTTAGCTATGAACCACCGAGTGTAGGCGGGCAAAGTAAAAAGGCGCATAGTTGTCAGTGCATCACTTTCAACCCTGAAACTGCGACAAGAAAGATAAAATTTCTACCTCCGTTGTTATACGTACATTAAGTGCTTTTGATGCTTTGAATATCAAAATGTTTATTTCTACATATACAAGTGCAGTTTGTTGACAATTGATAAAAGCTACACAGAAGCAATATGCGTACAGCTATAAAATTCTAGTCATTCTCTTCCATATCTGATAAAAATTTTCTAATGAAAATATCTGTGCTTTTTTTAGGACGCCGTTTGAGCGCTTTAAAATTTCGCAGATAACTTTCAAAAAAAACTATATTTGCCACGAGAAAATCAGAAGAAATTTGTGTGAAAACGTTTCTGCTTATTTATTACAAGGAAACTCAGATAATGAGATTGCTGTTATAACTTGGCATTGTTCATTACTATTTGGTGTTTTTTTATTGCGGTTTTTTCTCTGGACACTTAAGAAACAAGTGATAATAGTGAAAATACACGCTTATGATCTTTTGCTAACGAATGGAGTGTATCCTGATATGCAAAGCATATATAAAAAATCTATATTAATCCTTTGAAAACTATGAAAGTCGACATGGAAAGGAAGTAAAGCTATTTGGACTTTTTTTTGTTCGTTATGAAACTTGGTGCCGCTCGAAAAGTGACCTTGCTAGCAACACTCTAAATGTAATTTTTTTAAAATTCTACTAAAGCATTTAAAAGAACGCTTACTTTCGAATCATCTTTTGTTTCTGTATCGACCTCACAAGTTATTAATTCTTGCACTGTGTCTAAGTCCCCTTCAGCGCAAGCTAATTTCAACTTCTCCATCTGGAATGCATAGAAAAATGAGTGCAGTATTATAATGCATGAGCACATAGCGAGATGCTTCTTTTGCAAGAAAACTTTTTTTCTCATTTAGACTGAGTCAAAGCAAAATGCTTTTTTAATTTTTAAAAATGCCTAAATGAAAATTTAAGGATAAAAAATCAAGTTTTAACAAGACGTTTGCAAAATCAATAGACTATTTGTACACACCTTTTGAACAAAAAAAGTTTGTAAATGATTTTTTCAAAAATTTTTCTTTTCTGTCTCAGCGTCTTTCACACTGCGCGGACGTATTGGGTAACGAATTTTATGTCAAATTTTACGCATTTAAAGTAGAGATCCCAAATTTTCTATCAGGTTTTTTTATGTACAAAGTGCAAATTCAAGACTTTGAAAAAAAAATGTAGTGGAGACAATGTCCCGAGAAGTTTTATTTTGTTTAGATTTGACAATCTTATTTTCTTACCTAATCAAAGTTTTTTAGGTCTTATCACTTTAACATCTGCACAGGCAAAGTTAGAGTTGAACGAAAGTGGTTCTTTAGATTTTCGAAACTGTGCACTTAATTCACGTTCTGTCAGAAAATTCAAAGTATTAGAAAGCACAATTTTTTAGAAATTCTAAATTAAAATTTTTTTTTAATTTTTCTCGATTAGACACGTATCAAAGGCATAATTAGTTTGAATAAAAGAAAAACGTTTCTGGATTTGAATTCTTACAATGCCGTTTGTTATAGTTTTGAAATGTGACATTGCCAGAAAGTTCCAGTAAATTACAACAAAATTTTGCTCATGACGTAATATCCTGACAAAAAAAACGTAGACATATCAACAGCACTGAAAGATACATTTTGTTGATCTGAGTAAAAATTGGCTGAACTCTGGCAGAGTCTTATTCGTTGCTCTTATTCTTCCTGTTAGAAACAAGAAGATTATATGTTCTTAACTTTAAGCAGTAGGCCACATTGACATTGAGTTGACTAATTAGGAGAACCTTAGTATATTTCAT